ATACGTTTGCATAGTTCCCTTTCCTCACCATCAGCACTTTGTCTCCACCTCTTCCCCTCTTCTCTCACTCCCTATCAGGTTGCCCTCCATTGCTTCTTCCTACTCTCCTCCCGCATCCCCCTTTCCTTTTGTCACGCTATCCTACTGACATGATGCACCACAGCACCAGTTTTGTACTGTCCCTCTTCTGGTGCACCTGGTGAGGCGAGCGGGTCAGTCAGAGGGCTCTGGGGGCACATCTTCTGCGTGGTGTGGGCACATGGCATCCCTACACTTTGAATTTGGCAGGGGGTGTGTGTGAAAGCTTTAAAATCCACCATACTCAATAGATTGGTCTTGGACGGAGCCCTCTGTATCGTGTTGAAAAGATTATACAGCTTCTGCTTCCCATTCCCTGAGCTGTAACAAGGTTACTGGATAAACAGGAGCAAATAAATGATATAAATGAAGTCAGCATGTTTTCTAATAACAACAGCGCATTAAGAATAATTAATTGCGTGACCTTTTGTCCCACCCTGGCTCCCCTCGTCTCTTCGCCACTCTCCGGCTCTGCTTTTCTCTCTCCTGCCCCCTGGGGCTGTGCGCTGTACCGGAGTGTGGGTGTCGTTCGGATGGCTGCCGGATTGCACGCACACACACACACACACACACACACACACACACACACACACACACACACACACACACACACACACACACACACAGCTTTGTAATTACATCTTTGTAGGGACTCTTCATTCATTTCTGTGGGGAAAACTTTAACCCCAACATGACATCCCTAACCCCTACCCAGCCCTAACCTTAACCATAAGTAATCAAACAAAATATGTGACATTTTGGCATTTTTTGTTTTTTGATTGCATTCACAGATGTTTGTGGGGACCTGATGAATGGTTCCCACAACATTAAAATAATGGGTTTTTATCACATTGTGGAGGTCATTTGGTCCCCACAATGTAATATAAGCATAATCACACACACAAAATACATCATGTAAGACAAAAGCACGCTAGCAACGATGAGCAGAGCAGCACGCCTCTAACATGCTGTGCATTAAGCCCACCTCCACACATAGCATATAGCTGCATAAGCACACACACAGGATGCGTTATGCGTGTGCATCTGCGTGTCTTATTAAACTAACAGGCCCCCTCAGCACACATGTAGAGGTTCAGAGACTCCGAGTCCTGCGTTCAGACAAACAACCACACGATCAACAACAGATCCGCATACGTGTCTCACACGTACATATGACCTCAGCACACTTACTGAAGCTCAGAGACTCCGAGTCCTGCGTTCAGTTGCACTAACACACAGCCTTACACAGACGCACATGCACGTCTCACACGGACAGACCCCCTCCCTGTCATTCTAGCACTCTGACACAGCCTCTCTGCAGCCTCCGGTCTCTCACTCCATCTGTTGACCCAGTGGCCCCGCAGACTGGAAAGATGTTTGCGTTTTGCTGGAATCCTGCGCCGATCAGGGTAGTAACATATAAGCCAATAAATGATCAATTGACACACATCTGAAGCATATCAATTTCTTAAACAATCCAAGCATCCCCTGTTCTGGACCCCCCTCCCACTCTAAATTGCACAATTTTATTTTAGGAAGGTTTCGGGTTAATGTTCTTTGTACAAGATTGTGTTATATATAAACATTTCTCCTCCACATCCATCTTCTCCCTTTTTTCCCTCTGCTCCCATTTAAAATTCCTTGTCCGGGACAGCATTCTGTTATTTTATAAACACCTTTCTCCTCTATAGATCTACCTTCTCCATTCTTTTCTCTGCACCCATTTAAAATTCCCTGTCAGTCTGTTCTGTTCTCCTTGTTCTCTCGTAGCTCCTCGCTCCATTTTCTCCTGTTCCCTTATAGCCCTTGTGCGCTGCCCTCCTTGTCCTCTTCGTGCTCCTCTCTTCGCGTCACACATCATGGCCCGGGACACGTTTTCCCTGTATTTCCTCTCGCCTCTGAATGGCTCTCCAGGTCCGGCCTGCTTCTCACTGGTGGCTGCTTGTCGCGAGCTGGATTTTGGAGCGGGTTGGATTTCAGGGTACTCCGTTTGGCTGGACTGCACCTTCCCCGCCAGCGGAGGGCCGAGGCCACGTACGGAAACCGCAGGCGGCGTGTTGACGTGGCTCTGGCCATGGGACTCGGGATGGGTGCCATCCGTGGTTGAGCGGCCCGGCTGCTCGTATGGTGCTTTGTTTTTGTAGCTTAATTAAGCTGTTGCTCTGCCAGGTGGGGAGATGATATCCTCACATGGGGGTGCTTGGGGTTAAATGCTCTTTCTGGGCTTGGAACCAGGAGGGTGATGGGGCTGGGACCAGCACAGACCAGCCATTCTAATCTTGTTGGTCATTAGGAGGGTGTCTGAGGCTCTTTTGGGGGGGGTCGGCCATGGAGCAGGTGCTTTTAGAGCCACCCCCCCTCGACATGGGGGGTGCTGTTGTGACCGTGTGGCCAGAGGTGGGGGTTCAGGAGACGGTGGAAGGTGAGGCAGGCAGGTCTGTCACCTGTGTTTTCATTGTAGTTTTGATTCTGTTCTTCGTCATCGATTGCCTGTGCCCATGGTAAGGGGAGGCACTGTGACATTAGGGGCCCGTTTGATTGGGGCCCTGTGTGGGTGCTCCTTTCCTGTGTGTGCACGACGCAAAGGAAGTGGCAAACCCTGAGTCACTGGTGCGTTTGCCGAGGAGTGAGCGGAACAAACTTCTGGAATTATTAAAGAGGGGCTGGAATGGGGGGGGGAGAGGTATGGACCCCATACAGAGGCACGAATGGAGAACAGGGACGAATAAGTGCAGTATAATGATATTGTCCCTGCCGAAACTGTATTTTAAGTTGTTTTATTTTATAGCAGCTGTTTCCATGGTGATGGCGATTTTGCCCAGAGATTCTTAAACACCAGTTTGAGATCATGGAATTGATTGAATTCCCCCCCCTCCATTATTCTCCTTCCTCGTTTGCATTCTCCTTTTCATCCCCCCCAGGGTTCACAGACAAAATTCTGGTATAAAGACATGAAAGCCTAAGCCAGTATTCCCAGTGGCTTCAGGTGCCTCTGCTCTCCGTGTATGATCTCACGCAGCCTGTTACCTGTTACCTTCATCACCAGCCCCCTTTCATTTATACATATTTTTTTCCCCTTTGCCGAAATGTGAAATAGCATCAGACACGGTGACGGTATCATCAATGCGTCTGGCGTCACACATAAAGTTGTGATTAACATAATACAATCTCCAGCGAGGATAAGTACACAGACGAAAGGCCTGTGCCCCAGTGCTATTGCGGCAATTACATTTTTAGCCAAATTTGACCCTCATCTTCCATTATTTCCTAGTTGTTCCGCTCTCCTTTTCCCTGTTGCCATTTTTCTCTCAGTCCCTGCATATAGCAGCATGTGACTGGATCAGCATCTGCCGGAATGCCCTGGCCAGTTTTCCCTGGCTCTGGCAAGAATACCCTGGTGCTCCGGTCATTCCTCTCTGGCTCTGGCAGGAATGCCACGGTCAGTCCTCCCCAACTCTGGAGGGAATACCCCAGTGCCCTGGCTAGTCCTCCCCGACTCTGGAGGGAATGCCCCGGTTCCCTGGCCAGTCCTCCCTGACTCTGGAGGGAATACCCCAGTGCCCTAGCTAGTCCTCCCCAGCCCTGGTGGCAATGCCCCGGCCTGTTCTCCCAGGCTCTGGCGAGAATGCCCTGGTGCTCCGGCCAGTCCTCCCCGACTCTGGTGGCAATGCCCCTGCCAGTCCTCCCTGGCTCTGGCAGTCGCTGTCCCAAGCCCACACCCTGCTGCCTGCCATCACGTGAAACGGTTCAAGGAGCAGAGGTCTAGATGCCAGCCATGGGCCCCGCTAATCGGAACTGCCAGCTTTGTATGAGAGATTAAGGAATTAAATCCTTTGTGAATGTGGGAAGTGACGAATGAATGAATGAATGAATGGGTGGAGAGAGGGATGGTAAGTGAATTAATGAACCAGTTCTCCTAGGAAGTGATTTATTTATTTTCTTATACATATATATGTCATTGTCTATCTGTCTCTGTGTATATCAGTCTGCTGGTCTGTCTGTCTGTGTGTGGTTGTGTGTATGTCTGTCTCTCTGTGGATGTGTGTGTGTGGTTGTATGTCTATCTCTGTGGCTATCTCTCTCTCTCTCTGTCTGTCTGTCTGTCTGTAGGGGTGCCTGCATACATTACCGTGCACCCTGGCTTGTTAAATAAGTATTCTGATGTGCCTATGATCCCGATGCATCCGTGCGTGTGTGTGTCCCCTGCTTGTTGCTCTGCACGCATCCTTGTCTTTGTGTGTCCAAGCATCTGCTCTGGACCGTGCCAGGTGGAGGGAGAATTTAAGGGGGGGAGATGAATTGCATGAGGAAAAATTGGATCAGATTACAGTGAATTTTGGCGCAGGATTATCTCCAATCCCTGCTGCGTTACTGGGGAGGGAGGGAGAGGGGTGAGAGAAATAACAGGCCCCTGGCTATGCCAGGTTGGGGTGTCTTCCCTGTGGCCTCCCTACTCACAGTTACAGAAGCTTAATGGGCACTCTGCACTTCCCCGAGGTCGTCAGTTAAGCCCGTGTTTGCAAACCGCTGCATTATTTTATCCCTCCCTCGCGCCTTTGTGTGATAATGTGTATTTTACTAATCTTACTCTGTTTTCTTAATTAGTTTACTCTGCGGGTGCTGGGATCTCGGAGCTCATGGTCATATCTGAGCAGATTTAGCATCCAGTTATGCTGCTGTTTGATAGATGAGCAATTGGTTTAGTCTCAGTATGATCGAGGCTCAAGGCTGAGGACCTATAAGAGTCGTATGTAGCTCTTTAGTCACCAGCCATGTTCTTTCGGTTAAGGTGTGGCATCCTGAAGCTGCACCATTTGTGTTGCACCTGTGGGATATAGAGGAGGCTGAACTGGGTGGGGCTGAAGGCGGTCTTGTGTAGATTCAGTGCTGATGCCCCCTACTGTTTGACCTGTAACCTGCAGGTTGGCTATGAGAATGCAGGGACTGTGGAGTTCTTGTTGGATAAACATGGGAAGCACTACTTCATCGAGGTCAACTCCCGCCTGCAAGTGGAGCACACCGTCACTGAGGAAATTACAGAGTGAGTTCACCAAGCCTGTATCTGGTTATACCAATCAGAATATATTAACCTGCATATCTGTCATACACCTGCATATATGCATAGTCTACAGTACCCCTTTCTGTTATACACCCACATATCTGCATAGTCTACTGTACCCCTTTCTGTTATACACCCACATATCTGCATAGTCTACTGTACCCCTTTCTGTTATACACCCACATATCTGCATAGTCTACTGTACCCCTTTCTGTTATACACCCACATATCTGGATGATCTAATATGCACCTTTTCCCTTATACACCTGCATATCTGCATTAACTAGGACACCGCTGTCAGGTGTGGAGCTGCAGATCTGTGTAATTTAATTCGCAGCTGTCTGCTGTGGGCCTGCAGGTTGGGAATGTTTTTCTGTGTGCTTTTGCAGATCTCAGGTGTGGCATAGTCTTCATTCAGGGTGGGCAGGGGGGCGTAAGGAGGAAACGGGCGCAAGGGGACTCGAACGCTCCATCTATCGGGCGCCAGGTCTGCTGCTTAATCACACTGATGGCTGCTGCTTGGGGATGTGAAGGCAGAGTGGGAGAGATCAAAAGGGAGTTTGACAGCAATAGATAGAGGTTTGGGGCGCGGAGCCTTGGAGAAGGAGGAGAGAAACAAAGAGACGGTATAGAACCCTTTGTGCACACAATGCGAGCACTCATACATATGCATGTGTTCACTTCAGCCTACACACACACACAGATTATGTATCTATAACCTTGTGGGGACTCTTCATTTATTTCCATGGGCATAACCCTAATCTTTGGTTTGACAACTGTAATCCCTACCCACCCCTAAGCTTAACCATAGGTTACCAAACAGAAGACTTTTGGCCTTTTTAGTATATTGATTGCAGTCACTGATTTTTTTATAAAATTGAGTTTCCCCTTGTGGGGACCGAAAAAATATCCCCACAAGGTCAAAATAACCGGTCTTTATCATATTGTAACAATGGAATATGTACAGTACATTAACCCCCCCCCCCCCTACACACACACAAACACACAGCCACTACAGGGGGCACCTATTCTTCCCTCAGCTACACACCCCCTCCTGTCATTTTCACGCAAGTTCACAAGAACAATTCGCAGTTAGTATAGAGATATTGGCTAATTCATTATAAATATCAAGACTTGTCATCACGAATTGATGCTGTCAGACAGCTGCTGGAATGAACTGGCTACACTACTCTGATAAATGTGGAGGGAGCACAAGTCTTACATAAATATGAATGAGCCAGACATTTTATGAGTGTATTTATTTCATGGCCATATTTTATTTTTTTAACACTCCTTATTATTAAAATATGTGTGGGTGTGTTTGTGTGTCTACATTACACCCATCCAGGATCCATTATCCGTTTCTCTTATGTGACAATGGTCTTCATATTGCTCTCGCACACTGTCTCTAGCTATTGTTAACGCGTGCTGCTCTCAATGGGAAGGATTATGTGGTAAAAATGGTACAGATGGGATCAATACCTCTGCTCTTGATCTTTTATGTTTGCATAACCTGGCTGCCAGTGTGTCCCAGCGATTTAGACTAATTACCCTTCGCTGTCTCCCCCTTACACTCCGATTTATTTATTTGTTTCCCCTCGTGCCATTGAAGACTCACTTTTATGGAGAGAACTGCCCTCCGTCTGTGCTGTGCCCGATTTCAACTTGTTGTGACCTACCTATCTTTCTCTTTTAAGCATGTATCTTACCTCTCCTTTATCTCTTTCCTTGAACCTCCATATCCCTCATTCCACTCTTTAAATTCCCTCCCATCTGACCAATCTGTCTGTCACTTTTCAGGGGCGATTCTAGGATCAATTTTTTAAGGTGGGGAGCATAAGAGGGGCCATAATTCATACAGAGAGGTCAACTTTATCATTAGCCAATGATATGTTCTGAATCAGTGAGTGACAGGGGAGGAGGCACTCCAGGGGCCAATGAGCTTTCAGCTGGACCCAGTTCGCTGTGGGCCTGCCCCTGTTTACGCCCCTGTCACTTTCATGTGAGCCTGCAGAGTACAGGAGGGTTTACTCGTTCACCTCGACATTTCCCTGCACCCACTTTGTTTCTCTCTCCCTCTGTCTACGTGTAGCCGCGGTTAGAGATGACATCCCAATCATATAGCTGGACAGTGCAGAAGGTGAATTTGTCTCATTCGCATGTATCTGGGTTTAGCAGCAACAAAATAAAATACTGCAAAACTGGGAGCTACAAAAACGGTACTCAGAAATAAAATGTAAGTTTAGGGTTGCTCCCACTGTACCAGATACGAAGTAGCTGCAAAGGCATAATGATCTCAGCGTCCCCACTTTATTGGAGCCTTACGTGCATGTGGTGCTGGGACTGGACCACTATGCAGATATGTGGGTGTATAACAGAAAGGGGTACTGTAGACTATGGATCCCTGTGTTTAGATGAGCTGATCGGGGAATGGAAAGGAGTGAGCCTGGATCATTTGTTGAGTTTGTGTAGGTATGCGATTATTTTTGTCTGACCGATGTGACGGCTGGATTTTCACTCCCGCACATCAGTGTGCGATTATCTCGGGCTCATGTTCCGGTCCTTCTCGCAGGAGCACACGGTGGCTAATTGCCCTGAGTTACTGCCCATAAATTGCCACCGTCCGTCTTTATTTCTGCGGCCTGTCAGAGCGTGTCAGGGAGAGAAAGGGGGGGCCGAGGTGGGTTGGACCAAGTGGAAGATTGAGGGGAGTTTGCGGATGATGGAGACGGAGAATCAGATGCCCGGAGGAAGATGGGAATTTGTGATGGCAAGCTGGGTCCCCTGGGACTGTAGATTCTCATGCCTGCAGTCTCTAGGCCTCTTTGAACAAGATCCAAAGCCAGCTTCCACCAAAATCTGATTTTTTTTTTTTTAATCTCATATATTAAAAAAACAGCTAACTCTGTGTGGACCCTGTTGAACGTTACAGTAAGGTACATCAAGACATTGCATCAAAACAGCGGTCGCATTATCTTATATTTTATATCCAATCTCTACTCCTGTTGGTGATGCTTAGAGCCACCTGGATGTAAATCCCTGCTGTAGCGTGGTATATGTGTCATTGGGGATACGGCAGGTTTTGCTGATTCCTCTGTATGTATGAAAATAGAGGCCGACCAGGATGAGTAAGAGGGGAAAGAGAGAGCGACAGCGAGAGTGATAATGACAAAGCCGGAGAGAGAGAGAGCGAGGGAGACAATGGGAGCACGGCGCAGGGCTCGATTCTGCTACCCTGACCATGTCCTGCATGAAGCCATTCCACCCCGAAACTCACACATATTCCTTCCAATTCACATCTTATTCCTTCCAATCACAGGAGTCGCAACCCCCACCCCTCGCCTGCGTGCTCCCCGCTCTCGTTCCCTTTATTGAGTTCCTGACCCCCCCC